GCGCACGTCGACTAATCGTCCAGTCCATTTACGGTCCCCTGAACCCTGTTTTTACGTCAGAAAATGGTGGTCCTGGGACCAGCGGAGTAAGATGAATACACCGAGAGTTTGCTTTCCTAGCAATCGGATTAAAATCCTAATCATAACCGGGTCCTGCCCCGACATCAGTGTTCTTTGTCATTCATGGGCGGAAATATTTATTTATACGTGCACAATTAATGGTTAAAATTCTCTAGCTCTTCAAAGCTCGATAAGGAATTTTCCGTTGAAAATGTGGAGGCCATGTTAATTCTCGGACACTTATTTTACAAGTGGTTGTTCAATTCATTCAGTTTAAATGCCATTTCCTTCTACTTTCCCATCATAGTGTTAATGGTTATTTCACTTACAAAAGTATGAGTTTATTTTTTGAGAAAATGTGACCCACGATGCGCATGAATCCAGTCTAACGCGATTAATTGAATTCACACATGGGAAACCAGGTCGAACAGTAAATTAATAATAGCGAGTGAGGAAGGCGGCAAATAAAAAAAGTACACAATGACCGTTTGAACTCTCTACCGTATACGCATACGCTAGAAATAGACAAGAAGTGTCTGCTTCTCAAACAGTTGACGCCCTTTTGTGTCTACATTATCCTGCTGGGCAGGAAGAATGCGTTATTGTTCGTCCTAGTAATCACACGAACCCCATACGCGCTTGACTATTGTCCAAAACACCAACACAGCAGCTTAAAGCACGATCGACTACAATAAAAGTGACTGCTATCTGCAAGTCAGTCTTACTGAAAACTGGGTGCGTTTATAGCATCCTGCTCCAAAAAAGACTAGAATAACTGAGCAATTTCTCGGAAACCAAGATAAATCAGGTTCGAAGGATGTACTGTCGTCATAGCTAATGGCGAGACGCTGTAGAGAATGTGCTTGCCACGGGTAGGCGGGACGCACGCAGGTGCCTCTCTCGGAGATAGATTAAATATTTGCTCCTAATAATGCTTTTCCTCCTCCTCCTCCTCTGATATATTTTAGCTTTTTTAGTCAGTTTCGGTGCACTGCTGAGCGCAGTAGCCTTGTGCTGATGGGTTTTCTCCAGACCTACATTTTCGCTGAATTGGAATTTATCTACTGCTTCTGTATTTTTGCGTTTTTCTGTACCTAACAGGCCGTCCAAGTCTTGCCCACTGCCTGTTATCAAGTATCTGCAACTTCAAAGTTACGACTGTCCTCGTTGTCGTTAGTCGTCATGGCAACCGCAACTCATATAGTCCCTCGCGGCATGCCAGCCGGTGTGTCCTATAGAGCAACTTCAAGTGAGAGTCAATTCGTAAACGTCAGAGTTCCAAAAGACTTCATGTAGAGAGCGTTTCATTGAATCAGGGGATAGATGAGAATGCTGACCAAGGGTCACAGCGAAATATCCGTTTTATGTTTTAGAGAAAGGACCCGTAGTAAACGTCGGCATGCTTTTTCAAGACACAGTAGCAGAACTGTGACATTTTCTACGGTTTGAAAAGCGACCATAGTGGCGCAGTCCAAATCTCCACTATGCAATGTATCCTTTAATGAGAGACTGAATGTTTCGAAGCCAATTCGTAGGAAAATGACAATTTTCGTTAAATTCTGTGGGTAGAATAAAGTTTCTGGTGTTCGGATTGCAAGCGGTTTTGAGTTGAACAGGGTTTTGAACTCTTATGTACATTTAAGTGTAAAACCAAAAAGATATATTTTCCAGATATTTCTTGAATTAGATCTCAGTTAAGATACAGTTAAGATAGATAACTCTGACGATGGCTTCTCGTGTGGAGCCGAAAGCTCAGAATAAAACTATCGCCGTTTCTTTACAACAAAAACCTGGGGCACGCATATTCGCTTCTATTCATAAAATTTAAATTTCCGTTTCGATATGATATCACCCATAAGTTTTTACACTTAATTCTCACACTGAAATAATGCACCTCGATGATTGGGCCCAAAGGTGTTTGAGGGGAGGCGACTTATCTCCCTACTTTTCGGCTTAGTTAATCAAATCGTTTTCCCATTTTATTATTTTTCATACAGAGGAGGATTCGAACAAGCAGTTTGATTAGATAAAATACAATACTTTAAACAGTCAAGATCAAATGCTTTAATTCTGTGGCACCTCAAGTAGGGAACCAAATACGGGAAATACACTTACCGAAAGCGTACATCAAATTCTTTCCAAAAACTGTGATCTGAGCTGTCTCGAGAACAATGTTCAGTGGGATGATCCAACCCGATGCTCGGCCAACACCACTCTGGCACAGCCGTCTGTATTTCCAGTTTGAGATCAAAATATCAGGATTGACTTTTCTAGCAACTGCTACCGCGTAGTAAAATGGTCCGACACCGTAATTTCTGAAATAGAAATTATCAGTATATTTGAGAGAGCTGTAGATGGGTTACTTTGAGTTCCCTATTTGTACATGCCTGTTGTGCCGTCAGAAAAATATTATCTCAGTTTGTTGGCGAGGCCACTTGACATGAGCCAATGAGGTGGAATATGGTTTTAAAAAAGAGCAGCAGAGTACGCGATGAAAATCTCTTAGGTCAGTCTTTGCACACCAAAACCAGTCTTATTTGCCGGTTTGACCAGTGAACGTCCAGTCGGTGTCGAAAGCACCCTACAGGTGCTCTCGCCGATGGCTCTCTGTCATGACTAATGTTAAACTGAGGCCGCTAAAAATATTTGCAGAAGTATTTTTGGGTTAACATTGACGAATAACATGTGATTTGACTTCCTTCTAGTGCATTCATGCTGTTGGTGGCCTTGTTGTCAATTTTCAAAACCCTAATTTAACGTCCTCGTCTGCTTTGCTGGCGACCGCAGGACTGTACTAATTACGCCTACCAAAATCGTTTGTATGAAAAATTTGAGATTCATTTAACAAGGAGCTCTGCAGTCCACAGGTGTTTTTATTAAAAGTTAGTACAAACTGCGGATTTTGACTTTAATTGTTACTATGTGGGATGGATTATCTGACGAATGAAAACCGAGAAAAACGAGAAAATCCTGTATTTTCTTTGAATAATTTACAAAACTCATGGCTTGTTTACTTAATCAGATTACTTGCAGATAGCTAAGGTACAAGAATGAGGAAAGAAGAGAAAAGATGTGTGGGCCAAACACGTGAATTCTAGTTCGTCTTTGTAAGGCAGACTGATGCGCAGAACCCAAAATACAAGCGAAAAAATGACCCTATTATTGACTCAGATTGCAAATACTATCCCACCCAGAACCATACGCAAATCAGCGCTGACTGCCAGATGGTCATCTTGGCAGGATAAGGTCTGAAGCCCACTTCGCTTTTAAATAGCTATTGAAGGACCAAACGAGGTAGCTGTGAAGATAGATGAAGTTTCAATGGTCAGCTTTGGCTTGTTGGCCATCGTTAGCCTGCAGGGCAGCACATCTAGATACCGAATGATCTGAGCCGTCCACGAGGACGAAAATACTATGCGCGTAGTTCCAATGTCCAACGAAAGGACAATATAGATTGGCAGTGTCGCTAAAACCCATCAGTTAGATCCCAATTGCAGTTTCCAAGGAGAAGGTCGGTAGCTATTGGACGTCCCCGGTGTTACTACTTAGCCAACAGGTTAACTCAGTGTAAATATTGACTTGTAGCTTTTTAACTTCCTGAAAAATTAATTTTGAATTTGGAGCAGACGATTATACTCAAGGGTTTACACGCGCAGACCGAAATTTGTTGTAAATATTAGTAGTAAAGTTCATCGGCCACTGCGGGATAACCCTGCAATATTCACAAACTGTCAACAGGCAGAGAGTCAATAGTATAGTATCTACCAGAGAGCACTCAAGGAATGCTGGGGGACCCACTGACGAGCAGAATCCTTTGCAGCAGTGCTATACAGAGACAGAATATCGACCTCTGAACTTTTAGCTAGTACTTGTGTGCCATTATAGAAAATAATCACATAAACTCTGCAGATATTCCCATTTTACGGTTAAGAAGTCATCTTGGTAAACACATGTTTTCAGCAATTCGTCGTCAGGCCAATACAATTGCAGGGATTAAAACGGTCAGTCATATTTAGTGTTTAAATGGTCGTCGGGGTAGGAGGGGGGGCGCTGGTAGCCGCAGTCTGCCTACCCTGGCCGACCACAGGAGTAAATCTCATGCCGTCCGAACCCACGCCATCCGAAACCACACACGCCGACCATGAGATAATCGCTCATTCTCTTCCCTGCTCACCGAACCCAACGTTCTCAAGACGCTGGCGCCAGCATGCATGAGACGAAGGAACATCGCGATAACTAATTACAACTTCCTCCTACCCCAACAACCATTTAAACACTACATATAACTGACCGTTTCAGTCCATGAAATTGTATTGGCCTGACGATGAATTGCTGAAAACATGTGTTTGCCAAGATGACTCCTCAATTACATAAATATTAACAGCCCAACTTTACTTATAAAAGTAAAAACAAGACGAGCCAGACTGAATGCCTATAGTCGGTCTACCGCCAGTTACATAGGTTGCTTTGCCCTGCGGCATGCAACATAGACTGCTGCTGTGGAAAAATCTAACGTCCACAGTTGTGTTTTAATCGGAAAGTGGTACTACGGCAAGATAGAAAAGAAAGAATGAGCATACTCATTAACAATGGGAACCAGATCGAAGTAACGGCCGGCAGTGTAGAGGTCTCCAGCCTCCACACTCATCATGTCGACGAAGCCATCGCGTATGAAGCCCATGCACTGGATCGTCGTTGAGCCCAGTATGCAACTGAGGTCTGGTTTGATGCCCTGCGCGGCAAAGGCATTGCGCATACTCTGGCACTTTTCCATCTCCCAGTAATCGGTGACACACCAACGCAGGGTAGGCAGCGGGCACTCATTCATTTTGTCCACGGCCAGTAGGAAAGATTTGTCTGAGTGGTGGGAGGGGGGAGGAGTTGAACGAATTAATCATTTAAACGCAAAAGAATAGAGACAAACTGGCAATATTTTATGTCAGAATGTGTTAAACAATAAAGTAAGTTGAAAAGAAGATATTCGGAAAATTGAAATTGTATTTGTGGATTTTCGAACAGGTTTTACTTGTTCGTCGTCAGATTAAATGAAAAGTGAGGGTTGAAACTCTCGCACTAGAGGTTTTGGGGACAGAGGTTACATTCCACTGGGATGGGGTGGGTAGTTACGGTGACGCGAATCCTGCGGCGATAGGTTCTGCAGGTGAGGGCTATCGGTGCTCGGTCAAGTAGAACTTCACTGATTCTGCACATCCCCCGAACACGTGGCCCACAATCCAAACGTTAACACCTCCTCCTCACCTACAGAACCTATCGCCGAAAGATTCGCGTCACCGTAACTACCCGCCCCCACCCCATCCCAGTCGAATGTAACCTCTGCCCCCCAAACCACTAGTGCGACATTTCTAGCCCTCGCTTTTCATTTTGTCCGACGACAAACAAGTGATATCTGTTCGAAGATTCACGAGTACAATTCAATTTTCCGAAGATCTCCTTTCTTTTCATCATATCATCTCTGAATGCTACCTACTTCAATTATCCAATAAAGTAAGTCTCTCACGAGGAAGAGTGAAACAAACGCCCAGATTCGCCGCTTTTAGAAGAACAGAATAGAAGTAAGCAAAAACCTGGCATGCAAAATGAACGCCGTTAAAGGTACTGACTGGAAGTGAAAATTTCACTAAATAGATCGTCAGCGAGGAGTTTAGCCTTAGTGGTAAGCAAACATTTTATGATAGGACTAATGTCCTTGATGTTGGAGTTTACCAGTTTCTATCAAATACTGTC